TTATTTTCTTCTACAGTGATCTCTCTCCTCTGACAGTATGACCAAAATGCGACAGCCACATCTTCATCATTCAGGTTTCTACTGACATGGCCAATTTGATCCATTCCAAAATCGATCTATTAGCTTTATGAGCTGTCCATGGCACACATAAAATTCTTCTCCAGCATCAAAGCTCAAATGTGTCGATCTTCTTTTTAACCCCTTTCTGTAGTGTCCAGCTTTCACAACCATAACTGACAACTGAGAAAATGAGAGCATAGACAAGTCTGATCTTTTGTTCAGTGTAATTTCTTTGCATTTGAAAACTTTGAGTCTTCACTGTGTAGCTACCAAGTGCAATTCTGCAGAATATTTCTTCACTGCTAGTTGCTTCCTTGTTTATGAGAGAGCTCAAGAGATTAAAATGCTTTACAACTTCTATTCTGTTACTGTCAAGCTCAAAATGTTGTCATTTTCTGTGTTCATGATGTTCGTCTTGTTTATAATCAGTTCTAATCCAATGTTACTGCTTGTGATGACCACTGTATCATCTGCATAGTGCAGACTGTGTAGATTTCGGCCACCAACTTTGATACCGACAGACTCTTCTTTCAAATTCACTTTTCTGAAGATGGCCTCACTATATAGGTTCAACAGAAAAAGTGAAAAGATACATCTATGCCTGACACCACGTTTTATTGGAAACCAGTAAGTGTTGCTGTATTCAGTTCTCACTGCAGCGTCTTTATTTTTGTAGAGATTCTTTATTAACGGTGTTGTGTTTAGGTATTCCCATTTGCAACAGAGTAAGCCATAATTTATTATGATCCACACAAACACTTTGCTGTAGTCAATGAAGCAAAAGTATACGACTTAGTATTTTTTTGCTTTTCTCTAATATTCATCTAACATTGACAATAAAGTCTCTTGTTTCTCAGCCTTCTCTGAACCCAACTTGAGCTTCACATAGTTCTCGCTCAATGTATGACTGTATTCTTCGTTTTATTTTCAGTAATACTTTGCTGGCATGTGGAATTAATACAATCATTCTGCAGTTGTTACAATCGTTGACAACACCTTTCTTCAACATAGGAATAAACCGTGATCTTCTCCAGTCTGTTGGCTATGTTTTTTTCCTTCCAGATCTGTTGACATAGCCGAGTAGCCCTTTGGAGCCTCTGATTAACTCAACTGGAAATCCCATCTTTATTGTTCAATAAAGATTTAATTGATTATATGACTTCTTCCTTTAGAATATCTGGTTTATCTTCAACGTTGCTGCCTGGTTCACTTTCTACAATGTTATCCATGATGCTTTTTTTTTTTTTTTTTTTTTTAAATATACATTTTTGGTATAATTTTTCCATCCGTTTTTAATATTCTCTAGATTGTTCAGTATCAGTCCATTAGTCTTTATGCATCCCCAATCTGGGTTGGAATTTTCTGCTACAACCTCTTAATGTCCCAAAAAGCTAGTCTCTTTTTTTCCTTTTACGTTGGATTTAATACTTATTTTTAAAAAAAGCCTAGAATATAGGACAAATTAACTCCCTGCACTAAATAGTGGTTTGAACCCAACAGTGTTCTAAGTGCCAGCAACAGGGTCAACGGGCAACATTAGCAGCAAGGAAGCTATCGTGGAAAACCCAAAAGGCACTATGGATGGACCCCCCCCCCCCCCAACCACTATGTCAATGAACCTGCTTAAGTTCCAGGAAGGTGAAGGTAAGTAGAGGCAGCTGTACAAAAGTCGAGCAAGCACTAGCAAGAGGAATGCTGAGACAAATTAGGCAGTAGCCTTACGTCCCTATGTGTTCTATTTGTCAGTACTTGCCTTGGGCAAATGCTGGGAGCCAGAGACAGGAATCCACTATCAAGGCATACATTCTCTTTACTAGCTGTGGGCTCAGGTCACCATGCGCCAAGAGGGGGGCATCCTGTTTAACATCCTAGCTGGTGTTAAAGGGCCCGTAGCGAGATGAAATCAAGTACTGCATGTGCACTGCAAGGGGTTACATAAAAGTCTGAACAACTGAAATCCTAGATGGAAAGAGGCTCAGGTCAAAATCAGAAATAAAAAGCAAAAAGTGTTTGTCATTCAGGTTATACAGTATACCCCTGGAGTGTTGCCTTTTGTTTAGCTGTAAAATAAAACAGTAAAACTGCTAAATATGTGGGTAAAATATCCTGTATGTTTACTGTTTTAACTGCCAAAGTATTCATAATTTTGGCCATTTTTGTGATTGACCAACATCTGCTACTTCCTGGGCCAGCTTGATGTGCACTGGACAGGTGATGATTCACAGTCCAATTAGGAAGCTAGAGTAAAAGACTAGCTCAATAATATACATAAGTCAGCATTAAAGCATAGCTGTATTTTCCTAAATATAAACGTAACAGGGTGGGTGCATGTGTCATAGGTCTTAATGATTTCAATTTAAAGCTGAAGTTTTAATCTGGTTATATGTTATGTTACCTGCTGTCTCCTTTCTCCATTAATTAGGTTATTTTTTTTATGAAACCTTTCCATTTTTATTAAATACCTTATTTTAGACCCAGTGATGTCACTGCTGTGTCCCTGTGCATTCCTAAGGACTGCAAGCAAATCTTGGCTGGTGGAAGGGGCTAGCAGGGTGTTGTACATAGTTTTCCAAAAACATTACAGGACTCCGCACTCCTTCAAAAAGCCCTATGCCCCGATGCAAAAAAGTGGGCTGGCTCCTGGGGGAAGTGATGCAAGTATCAAAATCCCTTGATGGGTGAATATCAGTCTGGAGGAGTGGACATTCCTAGGCGGACTGTACTTTCATGCAGACCACGATGGGTAATTACCGACATGTGATGCAGACCCTCTAATTAAAAATGAAATCTATAAAATGTATGAAAAGGACAAACCACATACAGACAGGCTAAGCAGGAAAGCGCTAGATGATGCTGAACATCCTCCAGCCCAGAAATGATGCAGGCTCTATTTGACTTGTGGGTGCTTCCAAGTTCCCTTGCACTGCAAGAAACTCACAGGGGGAGATTTGCAAATATTGGTGCACTCTGAATCTGGTGCAGCTGTGCAAGATAGCCAATCAGCTTCGTACTTCAGCTTGTCCAATTGAACTTTGTCAATGAAACCTGGAAGCTGATTGGTTTTTATGCAGAGCTGCATCCTCAGCGTGTAGTGAAATCAGAATAAGCAATTTTAGCACTGGAAAGAAGCCTTACATCTAAGCAAGACTGAAAGTAAGGCTGGACTTAAGTTTTAATGGCTTAGCCGCCAGGTCTGTACGTTGCACGGACCGAGTTCTGCCTGTCAGAAGGAAACATTCTGGCGACTGCGCTGCTGCCCAATTGCTTCCACACACCCACGCTCCCGCCATGTATCCCCCTGTCAGTGTCCCCAGCCAGTATGCCCAGGAAAGAATGTGATGCAGAGTGATTGGCACTGCATTACATTCAGTGAAGCACAAGGGAGATATCCAGAAACCCCAGATGTCTCATCATTTTTTCTAAATTGTACAAAATTAAAGTCACACCCAAGCACCGAAAAAAATTTCCTCCAAAATTTTTGAAGCCCCCCAACCCCTACATATACGCACATTTGAATGTATAGACACGTCGGGGGGGGGGGGGTTGCCTACACATGAAAAACGTTGACTGCAATACATGTTACCCATCGCTGTGTATGCTGGAGTGAGAGCAATATTTCTGGCACTAGACCTCCTCTGTAATGCTAAACTATTGACCTATAGGGGATTTTTAACGCTTTACCTTGGAAAATATAGGGTACTGAAGTTTGTCGCCATTTCATGGGCACATGCAAATGTAAAGTTTGACATACTGGATAGCTATGTACTCAGTGCAACCTCATCTTTTAAATTTTTCCAAAAAAATGGGTAATGTATTGCTTTGTGTGCCCTCAAATTATCGTTTGTGTATTTTTTACTGAAATCTTACATTTCCCAGACTTTTGCAGTACTATCGTGTGACATAAAACTATCACTATTTTATTCTCTAGGGTGGCTGCTTTATTAAAATATATAATGTTTTGGGGGTTTTATGTAATCTTCAGGCCTAAAATTATCTTTTAAACATACGTGCAAAGGAAAAATGCAAACATAGCAGCAAAAGGGTTAAAACCTTGTTTCTTGGTCTATAGTGTTCTAGATTGTATTCTACTTTATATTATTGTGTTTAATTTGGTCAATAATTATAGATAACCCCATAGGTATAATGGCTCCTCACAAACGTCATGCCTACTCCATCAATAGCTAGTATGCACACTCCAGGAACACACTGTGCGTTTTAATGTCTGAGCACATGAAAGGGAACACACCTCAGTCTGCAAGGTGAACAGTTCACCCAAAAAAAAAAAAAATCAGCAGAGAAGCATGGGAAACTTTACATCATACTGGTCCATGAAAAATGTTTTTGAATAAAATGCAAGTTGAGCAAACTTTTTATTTTTGCATCAGCAAACATTTGTACTTTTTATTTAAGTAAATTGGGCAAATAGACTGTCTGAGACTACAGATTATAAAGTCCCAAATGTAAGAAGTCCTGTCCAGTGTTTGTGTTTCAACAGTGATACTAGTCTTGTTGACAATAAAATATACACCTTCAAATAGAAGACAAAATGCCTAGTTAAATATACAGATTTATATTCAGAAGAAAAATGTTTAAAATTCATGCACAGTCTTTAGTTCAAGATAGCAATTATCTGTAGCACATCAAGTGCGCCTAGCGCTTATTGAAATATGCTCACTCTTCAGTTAATCATCTCACTTGAGACATATAGAGCTGTATTCCATGGAATACCAGAAAAATTATTTTCCCTCTTGGGCCTTGTATAAAGAGCTCCCACCAATCTGGGTTAATAACACCAAAAGATCTTGCAAACATTAGGTATATGAAATTCTGTTAATAACAGTTATGCAAGATGTGACAAATTACAAATAACAATCTACATTTTGCATGCACAGTTTGGAAGATATTGCTTTCTAAGCTGTTTCTTTGTAGTTTTGCCATTTTCATATTTGAATAGTCTCTCGGCACACTTCACTCGCTTCCGCTGTCTGACTCGAGAAAAGATTTGTCTCCATTTTCCAGTTTTCTTCCTCTTTATCGTCGTTGGCTGAAAGATCTTTCTCACTTTTAGGAAGTGAATCACTGACAGAAAATTTGCGCATTTTAATATTTGGCAGCTTCTTTAGATCCAAATCCCATTCTCTGAAAAGTGCAATGAAAGGGAACAATAGGGAAGGGGAGAAAAAAAAAAGTGTTAATTTATCAGAATCGCACAGAGCTGCCCTGAGGAATTCTAGAAGATTGTTCATCAATCAAACATACCTTCAGTGCATACAACTGTACAAGAGGCTAAAGCAGCACAGTAATTTATAAATCATGTAAAGCACAAGTACGTAACATGTATCTCCATTACTGAAAAGTACCTTGTGTACTGGAAATAAAAGGGTAATTTTTTACTGTCTTAGTTAGACAAGACTTAGAAAAGTAAAGTTCAGGTTGAGTACAAATAATAAGCTGTAAAATGTATCTCCATTACTGAAATGTACCTTGTGTGCTGGAAATAAAAAGGTAATTTTTTACTTAGTTGGACAAGACTAAGAAAAGTAAAGTTCAGGTTGAGTACAAATATTAAGCTGTCCATAAGCAGTATGTTCTATATTTTTTTTTTATTTGATTTGTCAGATCAACAAGTTTTGCCAGAAACCATTGCATTTAAATACATACCCACACAATACAAAGCTATCAGTAAAGCCAGAAGATTAGTCAGATAAAATCTGTAACACTGTGTGTAACCAGGTAAACAAACAGCCAATCTGATAAGTGAAAGACCATCTCAAAGAGTAACCAACAGCAACCCATTTGAGTTTTAGAGCATGTGCCAACATGCTTTGTGCTTTTGTGTCCTCAGTTTGAGACAGTTCTGATATCATTCAGAATTCATTGATGCATTCTAACCTGCATTAACATACTTTGAGTGGGTTTTTTTTTCATCTGCATAGAATTGCATTGCATTTCAAAACTTATTTAAAGCAAACAAAAACACATCTGCACAAGTCCTTAATGTTGCCAGACAAGTAAAGGAAGAATTATCACCAGCAACTAATGTCTGGTACCTAAGGCATCAAGACAAACCAAAATGAACCACTAATGCTACCCAGCTAATAATACAACTGTGCAAAGTCTCAGTTCAAGGCATTTACCTATTCCTTGACTGCAGTATCATAGCAAGCAACAGCAGAGGACAATACAGAAGGCCAAAGGGTTGGGCTAGAGATGACAGGAGAATCTACAGCTCCTGCTTTGAAAAGTTTCAGGAGTGGCACAGTTATCACTTAAATCAAACTTCACTGAAATTGACATTTTAGACTTCAAAAACTGCTTTCCAAAATTGTCAAAACATTGTAATAATTTACAATCAAAAGCAGGATTTGAAAGTTCAAGAACAAACACTGCTAATCTATGATCTCAGAAGAATCATAAAATGTGGTCAATCAACGGATAATGGTTATTAGCTTAGCCAACAAGACCACCACAACATGAAAATGCCATATTTTACAAATAAAACTAATGAATGCTTCAACTAATTACGTAATAGGATGAAATGGCATTCCATATTTTTAAATGTCAGTTTTACAGCAATATGCCCTAATGACCTCAGTTTGCAAGTGAAAGAATAATTTCATGGCAGAAGTCTTGTGTGTTTATAATTTGAAAGTCCAAAAGAGAACAAAAAACATTTCTATGTTTCAGTATTCTTTAATTGGTAAAATATCAGGACTCCTGCTTGCTTCATGGTTTAGAAATAATCAACATTAACAAGCAAGGTATTGCTGACTTCCCCTCTTTGTATACCCCTTTCAAGGATCAACAATCCAGTTAGTGAGCTGTGGGTGTTATCAATGTACTTGACTAAATGAGGAGTCAAATTATGCCTTATCCCAGTTTACCCAACAATAAATGAATGCATTTACAAGGCTGAAGGAAGAGATACTGACTTTACAAACAGGGACACGAAGATGTATATATTTCCACCATTGTAATATCATCATAGAACAAATGTAACATTTTCCTCTTTTACCATGTCTCTGTCATATTGTGAAGGACAAGAGTGACACATATGCCATCTGTGCATGACACACAATTTCGAAAGGTGAATCACTGCATTGGGAATGTTCATTAAATCGCATATGGTTACATGAATGGTCTGTACTGTAACAGCAAAATGAAAAAAAAAATGCTAACCCTAGTTTATTACAGGTCGCATTATATTTTAGATTTATAGAATTTGGAAAAACAGTAGTGTTACATTTATTCAGCTAATATATTATGGTAGATACCCAATAACAGAAGTTCCTCAAATAAATCTGCTGGGTTTGTGACTCAAACCTGTAGCCATATGCTACAAAAAATTATGCATATGACTACATTGATTTTGGGCTTCTCAATCGGGTCATTGTAAAGATTTGGGGTGAATTTACTTGGCAGCATGTGTGGTAAGGCATGTAACGTGAATAGTCAATCTGAAGTAGTGCTACACTGGGGTGTCTGATACTGTAAAGCAAAGCTGAAATATCAAGGGGGATTAAGGAATGGCAGATAAAGAATTACTAAAGAGAAGTCAGCAGAGGAGCTGTATCGTGAGCACTAAAGAGAAGTATAGGGGTTCATGTGTTTAGGGGAGCAGTGTAGAGGGATATTATGAATCAGGAAAGATGAGTAGAGGGGGACCATAAGAATTGAAAAGACTGAACAGAGAGGAACCATACGAATGTGGAAGAATTCAGAGAAGATTGTGTGCACAGGGGAGAAAATGTGAAGAAGGAACATGTATCTGGTTAAAGTCAGTGGAGAGTGCTTTTGGGAAGACTGGTACCACTTCCCCTCCAGCTAACAGAAATAAGTGGCTCCAAGCCCCTGATATTGCCCAGGGAAGGCAGCACTTTCACTGTGCAGGTAAAGTAATGCGCCTGCTTTCATGGGGATTCATTGTAGAATTGAAGTAATTTAGCAAAAAGGATAAAATCACCCCATCAGGCACTGACAGATAGTAAAACACAGCTGCACAGAACAAAAACTATAAACATACCTAAAAGTTTTTAGATGTTTTGAATTCACAATATCTGGTATCTCTGAAAGAAAAAAATACAAATAAATATAAAAACTTTTGCTCTCAAAACTCTTCTCAGATGACAGTCACAATTAAAATGACAAAATATGTATTACTGTTGGTTAAACAAAAAAAAACAAAAAAAAACAACTTATATACTTCAGTTTACTCAGAGGCCTCAAAACCTCAACCAGAAATGGCTAATGTCTAAACCAGGGTTTTTTCAACCACAGCTCAAGGAGAAGTTCTCAGGGGTTCTACCTTGCATATTTAAAAGTTTAATATGTCATTTGTTTACACTGAAAAAGAGACCTATCCCATTTTTTAACCACTTTTCATTTCTTTGCAAAAATCTATATTTTTGTCCATAAAATTACTTAAAACCCCTAGAACAGTATATACAGTTAGGTCCATATATATTTGGAAACAGGCACAATTTTAGTTTTTTCAGGTATTTACCAAAACATATTCAAACTATAGTTATATAATGGATATGTTCTGAAAGTGCACACTCTCAGGTTTAATTTTAGGGTATGTACATCCAAATTGGAGGAAGGGTTTAGGAATTACAGCTCTTAAGAATAGCCATCCCCCTTTTTCAAGGGACCAAAAGTAACTGGACAATTGAATCAAAAGCTGTTTTATGGCCAGGTGTGGGCTACTCCACTGTTATGTCTTTATCAATTAAGCAGGTAAAAGGTCTGGAGTTGATTCTAAGTGTATTTACATTTGGAATATATTGCTGTGAACATACATCATGGGTTCAAAGGAGCTGTCCATGCAAGTGAAAAAAGGCCCTTGTAAGGCTTCAAAAACTAAACAAATCCATCAGAGAGATAGTAGCAACATTAGGAGTGGCCAAATCAACAGTTTGGTACATTCTGAGGAAAGAAGAATGCACTGGTGAGCTCAGCAACATAAAAAGGCATGGAATTCCACAAAGGACAACAGTGGTGGATGATCGTGGGATCCTCTATAGTACAGAAAAACCCATTCAAAACATTCAGACAAGTGAAGGACACTCTCCAGGAGGTGGGCATATCATTGTCAAAATCAACAATCAAGAGAAGACTTCATGAGAGCCAATACAGAGGGTTCACCACAAGCTAAAACCATTCATAAGTCTGAAGAATAGAAAAGCCAGATTAGACTCTGCCAAAAAAAAAATCTAAAAAAGCCAGACCAGTTCTGGAAAAGCATTCTTTGGATGGATGAAACTATGATTAATCTGTACCAGAATGACAGGAAGAAAAAAGTGTGGAGAAAGCTTGGGACAGCTCATGATTCAAAGCACACAACATCATCTGTAAAACATGGTGGAGGCAGAGTGATGACATGGGCATACATGGCTTCCAGTGGCACTGGGTCATTGGTGTTTACTGATAATGTGACAGAAGACAGAAGCAGCCGGATGAATTCTGCAGTGTTTATAGATATACTGTCAGCCCAGATACAGCCGAATGCAGCAAGATTGGACAGAGATTCACAGTACAGATGGACAATGATCCAAAACACATTTCAAAAGCAACCCAAGGAGCTTTTGAGGGAAAAGAAGTGGAATATTCTGCAATGGCCGAGTCAATCACCTAATCTCAACCCAATTGAGCATGCCTTTCACTTGCTGAAGGCAAAACTAAAGGCAGAAATACCCACAAAGAACAACTGAAGACAGCTGCAGTTAGAGCCTGGCAAAGCATCAGAAAGGAGGAAAACCAGTCTTTGGTAATGTCCATGGGTTCCAGACTTCAGGTAGTCATTGCCAGTAAAGGATTCTCAGCAAAATATTAAAAATTTACATTTTATTTATGATTATATTCATTTGTCCAATTACATTTGAGACCCTGAAAATGGAGAGACTGTGTATAAAAATGGTTGCAGTTCCTAAAATTTGTACTTGATATTTATGTTCAACCCCTTGAATTAAAGCTGAAAGTCTGCACTTCAAATTAATTTGAATTTTTTCATTTTAATTTACTCTGGTGGCATACAGAGCCAAAAGTATGAAAATTGTGCCCAAATGTATATGGACCTAACTGTATTTTCTGAAAGCAGAGGCCTTATAATAAAAAGATAGTAGTAGCAATTTTTAAAACATTTTTTGATATTAGCACGTGTTTATCAAAAGCGTATTTTTAGGAAACAAAAATAAAAATAATAATTTTAGTGCACAGAAGCAAAATATAATCCTCAGATTTTTGGTAAAATATAAAAGATGGGATTGAGGAAATTGAGTAGATACCAAACGTGCTAAGTCTTGAAACTGCGTGTCTGTGATATTGGGAAAAACAATGGTACCCAAAAATCTCCATAGGTGACACTTTAACAGCCTTTACTACTCAGTTTAGAGTTAACCAAGAGTTCTGGTGTGAGAATTTTTGCTTTAACTCTAACGTTCATGGTGATACCTCATATGTGTGGTGCGGCTGCGGTTTACATACACTTGTGCACCCTCGGCAAAGTTCACATTTGTGGGTGTATACAGGTAATTTTTTTTGGTTTTCAATACAATTTATAATAATTTTTGTTACTTTTTTTCTTTGACTTAACTTTTTTGCTATCACAAGGGGTTAGCAAACTTTCGTGACATAATTAGGCAAGTGACAGATACTCTTTATAGAGACATTGGGGGTCTAAAATACCCCAGCATCTCCCCTGCCCTCCAAAGCATCTGCATGAGCGAGTGAATGATGCCTCTGAAACCGGAACAGGCAAAATCATTGTCGCTTCAGTTTTCATTCTATACAGAAGAGATCAAGGCACAGATGCAGCTATCAGCTTGTGCTAAACCCTTCACCCTATGAATGTATGAACCAATAACACTGTTAAAAAGTATAAGTTTACCTTTGGTTTCACAGGTTTTGATGTCATGTTGAAATTCATACAAGCGTGTTGACTCCATTTTATAATAAAGTGAATTTCTTTAAATATAATATGACTTAATAGCTACAGTTCCCCTCTAAAGTGGACCTGAGATCAAAAAGGGCAGTTTTTCTATCTTATAGGAATCATTGAGAAAAGTTAAATGTGCCTATGCCGTACCCTGAAAAATGTCCTGAAAAATAGCAGTGCACTTCTTGTGCCATAACCCTCATAGCTGTGTATCTGCAGAGCAAGTTCATTACATCTATTGCACCATCTAGTGTACTAACACAAACTGGGTTCTGCACCGCAGATTGAATTTTACACTGTGCAACAATACAAAGTGTTATTCTTGATATTGTCATTCAGATATTTACAGCAGTATTCCATTGTGTTTTATATTTTATTGGTGTATGTGTTCTAACAGCATGGCTCGTGGTCCAATGTGATGTTCTATGAAAAAGGAGGTGTGAGATATAAAAAAGGAGGATCCTAGGCCTCTGTTTATAGAAAACACTGATAAGGCTAGTGAGAAAGAATGAAAATCTTTTTAGTTGTTTCTGTGCACTAGTACATTAGACAAAAAAGTATGTCTTTAGAATGAAAAATTATTAACCATGGGTTTAATGTGAACTGGCGATTCAAGTTGTCTGAGTCCATTGTGCCTTGTTTGTGGTAAACTTACAAATATAAGAATGGCTCCATGAATACTGAAAAATGACATTTTACTACAAATCACAGCCATTTGGCATCTAAAAGGTGCTAAATATTTTACATGGATATTGAAATATCAAAACAAAGTGCAGCTTTTATTAAAGGCATGGTAATCATTCCCACATGTACCTTATTTTTCACCTACATAAGATGTGCATTGATCATGACTTGTTTTATGGTGTCATTTGTTACTCTGCATGCACAACCTATAGTAGAGTAAGGGCTGGTACACACAGGACAAATATCAGTCGGTTCAACCGAAACTGACCAACATTCGACCCCTGTGTACAGCAGCCTGTCCAACAGCAGCTGGTCTAATGACCGGCTTATATAAAATGGGCATTGTTGGCAAAACGGCATCCAATCAGCGCTTGTATTCTACACACTGCCAGGGAACTGTCCGCAAACCATGCTCTCGACCCCAACCAGAAACATAAGGAGGAAGCAAAAAGGTGGGAGGCCCTAGCTTCTCCTCAAACAGAACCCCCTTCATGTTGGTCACTGCGCACATAGTGTGTCAGCACATCCATGACATAACTATGCAAGCACAGCAAAGTCCGTAGTGGTCTATCCCTGGGGAACTCCTTCAGTCCAGAAGGGAAATAGACCAGTGCCCTTCCCCGAGATTTTTCTGAGTGCATTAAAAAGGAAAAATAGAAGTGAGGTCAGATATCATCAAGCCTGAAGTCTTACTGTAAGCCCCTGGATATACTGCTGGATGAAACTGAGCATCATTTTCCTTCCTTTTCAACATAATGTATGACTGGGTGAGCGGCCCTTTGAGTCTTCTGCTCAGTCTGATAACTTAAATACTGTGAAACTCTGTGCTCAGTGAAATACACCACAAATAAATAAAAGTGATGGGGAAACTGCACTCAAATATACCTGAATACAAGGTAATAAATCTGTTGGAAAAAAAAACACAAGATGGAGATGCCCAGATTGGGAGGGATCACAACAAAAACTATGATCATGACAATGAAATAAGGGCAGCAGGAGATGTGAGGAGAGAAACAAAGAGTACATGCTATATTGAATAAATGCAGGAGTTATATACAGTGCTATACTATATGGTCTGTTTTGTTTCTCTCATGTCTCCTGCTGCCCTCATTTCATTGTTGAGCTGATCGAAGTCTGAGTTGTGATCCATGCAAAGCTATCCATCTCCATCCTTGGGAAACTTCAGTATATGCAAGTGTACATGACCTCGGTTGGTAGAGGTCATGTATTTCTGGTAAGCAGCTTCTGTCTCTTCATTGTGGTTATAGCAACTTTGAAGTACTGATCTGCACAGGCATTTTTTCACTGGGCACATGCTTATTGGACTTTTTTTGCGCCCTCACAAACCTGTATATTTATTCCACTGTCTTTGCAATGTTCACGGTGATGCTTATTTGAGAGCACAAGCTGTTTGTCCCAGGTTGACAATTTAAAAGAGAAGAGTCTGAT